GCTCCCAAACTCTGCTCTTATAGATTCAATCTCCCCTGTATCTGTCAATTCATGAAAATGACATCTGAGTGAGTGCGGTTTGGGGATAGAGGGTGAAAGAGTTCTGCTATCAGCAGAGACCGACTCAGTTCCACTAGATATAAACAAGCAAGTAAGCAACATTCCTAAATCTCCAACCACATAGCTTTGATGAAATGTATTATGGGTTAGCCATATAGTGAACACTGCTGAAACTTCTTAGAAAAATGTTTTATGGCATGGGAAATGATCACAATATTCTGTTACATTAAAAAGTAAGAGATTTTTTTTTTCCCAACCAAACCACACAGCAAACCCTCAAGATCCTCTGTTTATTTCTCTGGATGCTAGAGAAGTGACAGTGAGTAAGTACAGTCACAGTCCCTGATCTTGGAGAGCGTATGCTTCTGTGGGGAGACGTGTTTGTGGAGGATGCCCATGAACAACTGCAAAATTACGAAGAGAGGAAATGTTCTGAGGGAGATGCCTGCAGTGCTGTGAGCATGCTGAACCAAAGTGCTGGTCTGGCCCAGGAGGTGAGGACAGTGGCTAAGGTGATCTTGGAGAGCGTATGCTTCTGTGGGGAGACGTGTTTGTGGAGGATGCCCATGAACAACCGCAAAATTACGAAGAGAGGAAATGTTTTGAGGGAGATGCCTGCAGTGCTGTGAGCATGCTGAACCAAAGTGCTGGTCTGGCCCAGGAGGTGAGGACAGTGGCTAAGGGGACAGGAGGGAGGGAAGGCCCCTAAGACCTCCTGTGGAAAGGGAAGAGATCGCCAGGAGGCAAGGACAGGGGAAGCATGCCCTATGGAAGGAGAGGGCACATGCGTCCCTGATGAGTGTCTGGAAGGACACACTCCATTGTTACCAGCAATTCTCTCCAAGTGGTGAAGCTACCGTTGTGCCTTGTTTTTCTCCTGCACTTGTGTATTGTCCAACTTTCCACAAAGCTGGGGTGATTTTGCAATAAGGAAAAAATGGAAATGATGACCTTACTGAACAGGTGGACAGCAGTGCTCTTTACTTATTTATGCTCCTCTCTGTTTCAAAGAGGATTCCTCAAGCTGCTTACAACAATGTTAACACTATCCCAGGCTAAAAGACCTTGTCAGTAAGTTAGGAAAATGAGGCAAAGGGAAAGTATGGTGAAAAGGGTCAGAAGGAGAAAGGAGTTAGCTGTTCCTTCACATGGCAGGGAACGACCTGCCCTGTCTTGTCGCATGTCTTGTTTTGCCATTCAATTCTAATGTTGACATCTAATTTTGCTGTTGTTACACTTTGTCTTCCCAACTCTACTAAAAAATCTTCCATTATTTCATCTGCCTTTGATTACACTCTCTTTCCCTGAAAATACATTATTTTCTTTTCTGCTTTGCATTTTTGCAGCTTTAAAAATCCAGCATCCCTTCCCCCACAGGGAAGGGGCACGTGTGAATCGCCTCTGCACACAGTAGCTGTGCAGATGTCTGTGAAGGAATGGCTCAGCCAGGACTGAGGGCGACTCGCACCCTCTCCCCGTAGCACTCAGCGAGTAACAGGCACCCAGCAGGGGCTCAAGACCAGGCTGCCAATTTGATTTATGGGGCTTATTATCCAAAGTGTCAGTGGAGAATAGATATTGATTCCAAAGGGCTTAAATAAATAAGTGGATGCATAATCCAGAGAGGGCTGGAGACTGAGGTGAGGGGTGTTGTAGGGCAGCTGAAGTAGACATCGTAATAAAACACTGGCCCACTTGAAGATTGCTCCCAAGGGAGTCATGGGGTGATAGAGGGACAGGAATGGGCTGTGGAGTCAATGGGCACAGGTTCAGGCCCAGGCCCCACACATCACACCCTCGGGCTGTGACCTTGGGCAAATCACTTTACCTTCTGCATTCACAGAAAGAATGGGAGGGAACTGTTGAGAGGAATGTGTATGTGTCTTTATATGCATATGTGTGTGTGTGTGTATGTGTGTGTATGTGTATGCACATGTGTATGTATATGCATGTGTATGTGGCTCATGCCCTGGCACATAGTAGATGCTCAATAAAAAAAAAAAAAACTCTCCCATATTACTGCCCTTTTATTCTATTTGTGCAGTATGTGTGACCTGATATGAGAGCAGATAAAGCATTTCTAAACTTTCCCATAACACTCAATACAGTAATCTCAGGCTTTTAAATCCTCACTGGTTCAATACAACCACTATTACCAGCAACAGTAAAGTTTCCCTTTTAAATCACTTACAATGTGTTCCAGTTACTATGGCTGCATAACGAAGCACCCCAAAATGTAGTGGCAGGAAACATCCATTTTATTCTGCTCTTGGATTTTGTGGATTGGGAATTCAGGGAGAGCAGAGTGGCTTGTCTCTGCTCCAGGATGTCTGAAGCTTCAGCTGGGAGACGTGAAGGCTGGAGCTAGAATCATCTAGGCTCGTTCACTCCCACATCTAGTGACAGATGCAACTAGCATCGGGCTGAGACCTGAGCTGGGGCTGTCAGCCGGAATGTGTGGCCTCAGCTTCCTATGACATGCTGACTGGGTCCAGGGGAAGTGTCCCAAAAGAGAGTGTCCAGTGGAAGCTGTATCTCTATTTATATCTTAGCCTTGGAAATCACACAGTGTCACTACCCCCACATTCTCTTGGCGAGGCAGTTACATGGCTCTACCCGGGTTGAAGAGGGGTGGACAGCATAAATGCCCCCTTGAGGGAGGAGTGTTGATGTCACATTGTGAAAAGAGCACGTGGTATGGGATGTGTGTTGGCGTGACCATCTTTGGAAAATACAATCTCCACACTATCTATGTGTCAGGTAGCTTGGGCGATCTCTCATTCCTCAAAACCCACAGAGGGTCTGGGTATGATCATCTTCAGTTTAGAGATGAACAAACTGAGGCTCAGAGAGGCAAAGTAACTTGCTTTGGGCTATTTATTTACTCCCTCTGAACCTCAGTTACCCCTTCTATGAAATGGGTACAAATCTACCTTACTCAGTTACTGTGAGCCTACAGTGCTTATTACCTTATGGGGTTGTGGGAAAGTTGAAGTCGGAGAAGGTATTTTGCTATCGCCACCCTATGCTAATACAAAGCATCAATATTTATTACCATAGCATCATTATTTCTTTGCCCTTCACCTACACCATCAATCACACAACCACACACAGCCTGCAAAGGACCTGGCTTTTCATCCACACACCAGCAGGAGCAAGGCTTGTCAATGTATTTTGGTCATGCCTCACTTAGAAGGAGCAGAAGATCTCACAGTCCCCTTCCCCGCCTGTTCCCGTCTTCCAAGAGGGACAGACCCTTGGGAAGAATGCTAATGTTTTTTATACATTCCAATTGTGTAACCCTTCGTAAGTCACTTAGTGGATCACGAGCAAGTAGCCCTTTGGTCATAATGAAGACGGCAGTCTGTCACACTGTGCATCTCTCCTGCAGGGGATCAGGAGGGAGGGTTGGCATTTCTGGATGAGTTCATGGACCCCAGGAGGTCTCTTTTGGCCCCTGAATGGACCAAAAAACGATCCTTGGAGAATTATTCTTCTGGGGATTAATTCCAAGATCCTGTGTACATCCTCGTCAATTCACCTGCGAAGTCTGAGGCTGGCCTTAAGAGACCCTGTTTTGCTATGAAGCTCATTAAACAGATGGTTGACTCTTCCACTGATATGATTCAATGAGGAAAGGGGCAGTGGAAGAGCCCTAACAGCTGGAGAGTGTGTTGGGGGCCTGATGGCTGCTCTCACTTCACAGCCCACCGGCCATCTTGTGCAGCTGGAGGTGGGGGTGAGTGACGGGGTGGTGCTCACTCAGCAGAGATGGCTGGGCTGCACCCACCTCCCTAGGGCTGGGGGCCCTTGGGGTGATGTCCAGATCCTCAAGGGCAGGTGACTGTACAACGGAGGTGAGCCTTAATGTCTTAGAGCAGCACCAGGGTCAGCAGAGGTAGTGGGCTTTGCAATTTGCAAGAGCCAGCTTTGAATCTGGCTCCAGCCTACAGAGCAGGGTGACCTTGGATCAGTTACTGAAAGCCTCCCAGCTTTAGTTCCAGTTTCTTCACCTGATCATTGGGTCTAGTGAAGGGTGGAGATATGCTAACTTCCAGCACCATGCCTGAATCTTAGGAGAGGCACAATATTTGTGTTTGTTTTTTTTTCCTTTTTGTCTTTTTTCGTGACCGGCAACGGATCGCAACCCTCAGTGTTGCGCCTGCACCTTGCTCAGCCAGTGAGCAGCCGGTCTGTATGTGGGATCCGAACCCTTGGCGGGAGCGCCGCCGCGCTCCCAAGCGGGACACTGTAGCAGTGCGCCACCGGGCCGGCCCCTTTGTGTTTGTTTTGATTGCTGACTTTTAATCCTTACAACATCCACTTTACAGATGAGGAAACAGAGAGACTTTTAGAGGCATGTTTTTGCCTGCAAATGCTGATGTTCACTTGTGTCATTGATAGGAACAAATCCCTGCCCTTGAGCTCTGCTCAAATTATACTTTGACAGTCTCTGAGGTCCCAGCCCTGCAGGCTGTCCCTGGAAGCAGCTGTGAAGCTCTCACTACTCCCAGCTTCAGCTTGGTTTGTCCTTAAAAGGTGGCTTCTCTTCCCTTGCCCTAAATCCCCACCAACTCTAACCCTTATCACTATGCTGAACAAAGTAAGTTTTTAATACCCCAGGTATTAAATGGCACAGGTGAGAAAACTAAGGCACCGAGAAGTGATGTGACTTGTCCAAGGTCACACAGCATGTAAGTGCCAGAGGCAGGAGGGTTTAGCTGCTCCAGCCTGGATATGCCAGGGGCTGGTAACAAGCCCAACCCCTCTAGCTTCAACTCCTCTTTTCTCCCTTATGCCAACCAACAAAAGGGGAATCATTTCCTATTCCTGGCTTCTCTGCCAGCCCAGAGAGACTGAGTGAAAAAATGTTTCTCTTCAACTCCTCTTTTCTCCCTTATGCCAACCAACAAAAGGGGAATCATTTCCTATTCCTGGTTTCTCTGCCAGCCCAGAGAGACTGAGTGAAAAAATGTTTCTAAATATGCCAAGATGGTCTTTTCCAGTTTCTGAGTTTTGCTGTCTGTCGTTGTTTGAAATCTGTTTCCCAAGAGACTCTGGGAAATGCAGGTGAGGGGCCTGGGTAGCAGCGGGTGTCTTCGGGGCTGGGTACCTGCTCTCCTGAGTTTGTGTCCCGAGGCTGTGTGCTCAGACTTGACCATGTTTGGGCATGGAGGCTTGTCTCAGAGGGGAACCAAAGGCTGCTTCCCTGGAGACGGGCTGGGAGGTCAAACTTCCTGCTGGAGCTCAGCGTCTTCTTTTAGGGTGGGGGCTGGGGGCCAAGCAGAAAGAAACCTTCTGCCTGCCGAAGACCCACAGGGCACCAGGGAGACTGTGAGTACTGTGGCTGAGAGCACTTGGGAAGTGGTTTTTCCAAAGACTGAGGACTGGAGGGGACATGCGTGAAGAAAGCAGGCTAAGATGGGGCAGGGAGGGGGTGGGCAGAGGGAGCTCCCTTCCTTGGGCTGTCCTTCAGGATTCTGGGCTCTGTGGTGTTGGTGGGCAGTGGCTCAGTGGCCAGGTCACTCTGGTAGCTCAGTGCCCTGGCCCTCAGGTCAGGAACCAGTCCTGGCACTTGTCACATCTCTGGAGAAATGGGACAAAAATTAGATTTGGCAAGAGCGCTCCAGACTTCTCCGAACCTTAAGGGTTCCTTGTGGATGGTAATATCTAATATATATTGAGGCCTTATGCTGGGCCAGGCACTGTAGGAAGTGCATGATATTCAATATATTATTTGATCTTTATCAGAACTTTCAAGGCAGGTGCTGTTGTTCTTGTTTTTATAGTCACATTATTGCTAAGTGGCAAAGCCAGGATTTGATCCCATGTCTGATGACCTCAGAATCCCCAGCCCACACCATACTCCATCAAACCCTTCAACACCGCATTCTATCCCCTGTCCTTCTAAGGAAAAGGATGTCAGCCCAATTATCAGGGCCCTCTGAAAGCCTGCCTTCCTTTACCCTTCTCCATCTTTCCTAAATTTGTGCCAGACCTCGAGTGACTTTTCTAAATGGGAAGATATATCCAAAAAGTCCAGAGATATTTAACAACTCTCAAAATTTGGAAGTTCTTCTTGGAGTCTAGCTAAAATCCCTCCATTTCTTCCTGTCCAGTCCTCAGGGGATAGCAGCGTTCCCATCCTTCCTCCTGTCTGAAGGTTGTCACTATGGATGTTGAATCCCAACTTCTCACCCAAGTCATAACTAAACAGAGCCCCAAGCATGGTCTTAGGAGGATTTATTATGACCCTATAAACTTACTCACTTGGAATAGGCAACAATCCCATCCGAGCATTATAGACAGGTGAGAATGAACAAGCCGCAGGTTGCAGACTTCTCTGTGACAGGGAAGCCTCTCCTTTCCTTTCCTCCTGAATTCCCAGAACTGGTAGAACCAGGGCTCCTGCCTTCACCAGCCTCAGGAGTGCCCAAGGGTCTGGGAAGACAGAAGAAGCAGTGGAGGAGGCAGTGCCCCTGGGAGGTGGGGGCTGAGTACATGGAGGAGTGGCCACGACATAGAAGTCCCCCCACAAGCCCGCTCCAGCTTCCCTGCAGTGCAAATGGTTTTGACGTGGTCACTCAGCCTAGGCTCTCCAAGATGGGACTCCCCATTGGCCCCAAGTGTCCCACAGTCACTGGGGTGGGGCCAGGTGCCAGTGATTCTTGCAAGTCCTGGGGAAATGGGCTGGTGGAGCTTTTGCCCATCTCTAGGTGATCGTGTTGCTTTACCTGTGGATACCTGTGTGGGCTTCCTAAACTGGCATCAGGTGGAAAAAGCTGTGACCTCTCCTATTCCTACAAGATCATAGAACAGAAGCCAAAAGATAAAAAGGAATTGAACAGAACATCTTTCTTTGTCAGGGAAAATTTTTGCTTGCTTGTGACTTTATAATGTCTCCATGAGAATGTAGGGGAACCCGACCTCTTAGTGCCCCAAATGAGGGAGGAAAAATTGTTTGATGTCATCTCTGTCAACCAAAAGGGGAGGTGGGCCAGTTCACGGGAGGTTGTGACAGGGTTGTACCCTTGATGCCTGACCTTGGACTCCCCTCTATAGGGCAGCAGAAGTGGGGGAGAACTGCTGGGCTTGGGGTTAGGGGATCAAGAATCTCTGATTGGACATTTGAAACCGTCTAATAGTTAGGAGAGAAGCCTGAGCAGAAAATAAAACACTTTGCTGAAAATCCCTTTGGACTAATGCCTGTCTCCTGGACACTGACTGATTTATAAAAATAATGTGTTTATTACTTTAGAGACCTGGTAGGGAAAACAGAGTCCTTGCTGATATCTGGCTAAAATTTCCTCTGAAATGCAATTACAGAGAAAGGGTCTCATGGCTCTGGAATTAGAAAATAAAACACTTTGCTGAAAATCCCTTTGGACTAATGCCTGTCTCCTGGACACTGACTAATTTATAAAAATAATGTGTTTATTACTTTAGAGACCTGGTAGGGAAAACAGAGTCCTTGTTGATATCTGGCTAAAATTTCCTCTGAAATGCAATTACAGAGAAAGGGTCTCATGGCTCTGGAATTTTTGGTAGAAATGGACTCCAGATATCTTAAAACAAAAAACAAAGCAATTTACTGGGAGGCTCTAGGGCAGCTCACAGAACGCATGGGAAGTCCACATGAGAGGCCACAGCTGGGCAGCTCTGCGGCTCCAGGTGGCACAGACTGAGGGGCTGCTTCTTGAAGACACTTTGTGACGATTCACACTCCTGGGAGTGTTCCGTGGGCCTCGCAGGAGAGGGCGGGGACCTCTGCTTGCGCTGGGATGGGGTAGATGATGCCCAGAGGAAAATGAGGGGCTACAGCCAGAGCGAAGGTGGAGGGAAGGAAAGCTGCCAACAGCCCCCTTCCCTCCCTCATTTGGCTTTGGCCCAGGGTGGCTTCAAGCCCTGAAATAACAAAGCAGCGGCCAAGGCACACAACGTCTTCTTCCTTTGCTCAAAGGGAGCGTGGCCTCTTCAGGGATCCTGAGTGTGGGAAACCTCCTGCTCCCCGATCGCCTGCGCTGCCTCTGGGCCCTCCTGACCCTTCTCTGCATGCTGTCCCCAGCCCAGCCAGCCCTGTGTGGGACTGTTTCTCGGCAAAATTGTGCTCTAAGTTTCTCTATGAGATAAGTGTCCCTGGAGGAAGTGCACAGATGACACCCCTCTGCTGCTGCCTCATTGCATTAGTTTCCAGTGTCCACTGTAACAAATGACCTTAAACTTGGTGGCCCAGAACAACAGAAATCCACTGTCTCACAGTTCTGGAGGCCAGAAGTCCAAAATCACCAAGGTGTCTACAGGCCTGCACTGCCTCCAGAGGCTGTAGGGGACAATCCATTGTCCCTCACCCCCTCCAGCTTCTGGTGGCTGTTGGCACTTTCTGGCATGTGGCCGCATCCTTCCAATCTCTGCCTCTCTGGTCATATCACCTTCTCCTCTTCTATATCTCATCCCTTTCACCTTACATTTAGGGTCTACATGAATAATCCAAGAAAAGTCTCCCCATCTCAAGATCCCTAACTTAATCACCTCTGCAAAGTTGTTGCCATATAAAGCAACATTCACAGATTCCAGGGATTAGAACATGGACATCTTGGGGCCTATTATTGAGCCTATCACAGGCTGTGTGACCTTGGACAAGTCACTTTACCTCTCTGAGGCATAAATCCTTGAACTGCAGAATAGGGATGACGATCCTCCCTCTTGGATCTGGTGGGAGGCTTACATGGGGTCGAAAACACCCTCCAGAAGCTGCAGACTTCATATATAAGTGGGAGTGATGTTGATATTCAAGTCTCCTCCCCTCTCACCTGTCCTCTCTTCTGTGGATTACCTGTCACCTTGGCTGACCTCACTCTGTTTGCCCTAGAAATGACCACTGCCCCCAGTGGACATGGGGAAGAAGCTGGTGATGGCCCAGAAGCGGGGAGAGACTCGAGCCCTTTGCCTGGGTGTGGCCATGGTGATGTGTGCTGTCATTGCCTACTATATCCTGGGCACGACTGTGCTGCCCCTCTACCAGAAAAGGTACCACACCCTCCTGGCTGCCCCCACCCCTGGGTCTCCCCTTCACCCTCATGCCAGGCAGGATGATCGAGACAATGCTCACTCCTAGGCTCAAGGGTTCAAGTGCAGGGAGGGTAGGCTGGACTGAGCCCTGCTGGTCTGGGACTCTGGGACCTGGTGGTAGGAGATGCAGGATGCCCTTCTCACAAGAAGCAGCATCCTAGGCTCAAGGGTTCAAGTGCAGGGAGGGTAGGCTGGACTGAGCCCTGCTGGTCTGGGATTCTGGGACCTGGTGGTAGGAGATGCAGGATGCCCTTCTCACAAGAAGCAGCCAAGAAGCAGAGCAAACACTCCAGTGTGAGTTTAATCCCAGGGGAAATTCATGGCTCATTGGCACAGTTCTCTCCCCTCTGCTGCATCCCAGTCAGGTGGGCATCCAGCCTCCTGATGAATATCGCAAGTGATGGGAGCTCACTACCTCACCGAACATGCCATGTCGTAGCTTTTCTGACAGGTAGGCAGTGTCTATCTTGAACCAACATCAGGTCCCCTGAGCTCCACTCAAGAATCTCAGAGAACACTCCGTACTCTCGCTCCTGACCTGTCAGCCCCCTTGAGCTTTTAAAGAAGAGTGCCGAAATTCCTGATTCATGCTCTGTTTGGTACAAACACACTCAGTACCCTCAGCCTGTCCTTAGGATAAGTCTCAGATCCTTTCTCTGGGCACGTTCCAGCTGCCGACAGCCACCCCGCCCCCGCCCCGTCTGACAATGCAGGATAAATAGGAGATGAGTCACAATTGATTCGCTTATGTATTGACGAGTCTGTTAGCCTCTCCTGGACCTGCTCCATCCTCACTTTTTACAACACTGGAGCTATTCTGGGCTGCAGTCTCACCCGAGTGAGGTGCTACTCAGAGCCGCTGAGTACCTCCAACACGTCACCTCCAGGTTAAGGTCCATCCCTGCCATCTTCCGCACCCCGCGTAAATCAAGGCCCTCCTATGCCTTCTCTCTTTAGGGGAATGTGCACAGATGCTGAAGCCACACAGACCTAGCTTCAGGTCCTGGGTAGTCTTGTAAAGGTCACTTGACCCTTCTGAACTTCTTTTTCATCTTTGTAAGAGAGAGATGATGTGGGTAAGAGAGTCTTAGATCTGGATGCTCATCAGAATCACTCCAGGAGCTTTTAAAATAAATACCAGGGCTTGGGCCCAACCGCCTGAGAAATTCTGATTCACTTGCTCTGGGGTGTGGCTTGGACATGGGAATCTTTTCAAAAGTGCCCCAGATTTCTGGGTGAGTATCCAGGGTTGAGAACCATTTATGTAGATGATGTCCAAGACCCCAACCAACTCCAATATTCCAATTCTATCCCTGTGCCCAGGGGCTCTGGGGTCATGTGCCTTCAGTGCTGGATGCTTATGGAAACATGGGGGTCCCAGCCTGGGTCTCCCTAAAGCCTCCTAGGGGATCATGTGTTCAAACTGGGTGCTCTGGGTGTCACCCTGGTTCTGAGCGGGGTGTGTGTGTGTGTGTGTGTGTGTGGTCTCCCCAGTGTGTGGACCCAGGAATCCACATGCCACCTGATTGAAACCAACATCAGAGATCAGGAGGAGCTGGAGGGCAAGAAAGTGCCCCAGTACCCATGTCTCTGGGTCAACGTGTCAGCTGTGGGCAGGTGGGCCGTGCTGTACCACACGGAGGACACTCGGGACCGCAACCACCAGGTACTGGAACTGGGGGGTTGGGTACATGTCCCCTTTTCCCTGACAGGTATGTGAGCCTGTCCCTAACTGCACCAATCCCTGAAGCTGGAAAAGATTAACCCACTTGAGCAGGGCCTCACAGCTGGCATGAGGTTGAGCCAGCCCTCGCTTTTCTGTGTTGGAGTCGGACAGACCTGGCCTTGAATCCCTGCTCTGCCACTAACTGGCTATGTGACTGGGGCAGGCCACTTGGCCCCTCCAAGCCTCTGTTTCCACCTTTGTGAGATAGGATACTAACGTTGCTGAGTGCTGTTTTAAACTCAGAGACACTGTACATAACGTGCCAAGCTTGATGTTGGGTGGATGGTGGGCACTCAAAAAGAAGCAGTCGCTAGTGTTATTACTCCCATTCTATAAACTGAGTCAAATGAGAGGTCAGACCAGAGCTGACCCCACAAAGTGGAACCTCTGTCACTCCCCAGGAAACCAGGGACTTAGGAGTGGAGCAGCCTCCATAGAAAAAACATTTAGGTGGTTTTCCTATCGCCATCTCTCAACATCCTACCCTCCCCCTCAACCCCACAAAGTGGAACCTCTGTCACTCCCCAGGAAACCAGGGACTTAGGAGTGGAGCAGCCTTCATAGAAAAAACATTTAGGTGGTTTTCCCATCGCCATCTCTCAACATCCTACCCTCCCCCTCAAAAAAATTTTTTTTCTACATCAAAGCCCTTCCTAAAGGAAATATGAGTTGGCTAATATTTCCTTCCTTCCTTCCTCCCTCTCTCCCTTCCTTTATTTCCCTCATTAATTCATTCAACAGCCATCAAGCACTTCTTGTGGTAGTGCTGTAGTACCCACGAGGAGAGAGCTCATTCAGGACAATGCCTAGCAGGGAGGGATTGGTGCCACAGAGAGGAACAGAGGAAGCTGTGGGGATTAAAGGAGGGAGCAATGTTCTCCAGCTGAAAGTAAGGTGAGGTATCAGAAGGTATTTGGATTAGGCTTTAAAAATCAGGCAGGCACTGGGTGCTGAGAAATATGTTGGGGAAACTGCATCTCGAAGGTAGGGCATAGAGCAAGGCGTGGCGGAGGGAAGGGCTCGGTAGAGACAGGAACTGGAAGGCTGACTGTAGAAAATGACACCTGATGGGGTGTGTGTAGCTGGAAAAGGCTGCAAGGGTAGACTAAGCTCTGTTCCCAGAGGACTTCAACTGCCAAACTATGGAATTAAAATGTGAGTGTGTAAGCTGGGACGTCTCAACTCCGGCTGTGCATTAGAACCACCTGGGGGACCAAGGTCCCACACCAGACCAACTGAAGCAGAGTCTCTGGGCATAAATCAGTTTGTGGAGCTCCCTGGGTGGTTCTAAGGTTAGGATTGCTGCTGTGAGCAACTGGAATCTGGGGGCATGATCAGAGTGGTGCCGGGAAGATGGAGCTGGCAGTTATGTGGATTCAGTTACTGAACAGGGCTGAATGCTGACAGTCCGAATTTGGTGGCTGATGGGATGGGAAGGGGCAAGGACGCTATGGAATCTTGACCGTGCTGGGGGTAGGGCAATGGGGTTTCAGGCAGAAGCGGGTCTGAGAAGCGCAAGGTGGTCGGAGCTGTTCTGGCATCACTAGCATGACTTACTCCCCCAGATGGAGAGACGGCCTCAGGACCCACCTGAGTTAGCTCCTGCTCATGACCCCTGCCTCTTAATGGGCATTCTGCCCCCGATCTTTCCCAGGAGCAAGCAGAGTGATAACTGCTGTCATCCTCTTCCACGTGGGATGGGGCTGGAGCAGGCTGGCTTGTAGGCAGCCTCCCGATCCTGAGGTTGTCAGCTCAGGGGAGCAAGAGGCCAGCACGCTGAGTGAGCAGACAGCAGCATGTGATGGAAGGACAGTGCTGGAGCTGCTAGCTGTCCTCCCTTCTCCCCACAGCACCACCGGGAGCAGTGCTAATGGCAGGCTGCCATGGGGGATGGTGGACGTGCCCTTCCTGCTGATTTTTCCATGCAGCTGGGTTGGTGGCCAGCTGCTCCTTACACCTTTGCTCAGTGCAGCGGTGCAGGGAGCCAGTGCTCCAGGCCAGCTGAGTGTCCTCTGGAATCACCTGTGAAAGGCCAGGCCAGACTTTCTCGTCCCATCCCCAACTCTGAGGAAGGGGCTGCATGCGGTCTGCCCTCAGATTCTCCCATAACAGCCTTAACCTGGGGGGTTTCTAAATTCCTTCCCATGTTCTGTGCTGAGGACAGTGATGCCACAGGGCTTGGGGAAAGGGCTAGGTCATTCGAAATCATTCAGATAACTCAGGGTTAGCTAATCCAGGGTAGGGGGGACAGGAAGCAAGCAGGCTTCAGACCTCTGAAGTTGGCCCTGAAAAGTGGATTCCTGTCCAGTTTCTTACAAAACCAAGGACCCAGAGGAACCCCAAGCAGGTGAAGGATATAGTGGGGTCTGAGATGAGCACAAGTCCCCACTTCAGTACTCATCCTTGGGCCCCTTTTTAAGGAGGGAAAGAAGGAGCTATTGTTGTGATTTCATAAATAAGTTACCAGTATTAAAATAATAACAGCACCTTCCATTGTTTTGAGCGCTCACTATGTGCTGGGTTCTGTGCTAAGTGACCCACATGCATCATCTCATTTAATCCCATGACAGTTCTTCGAGGCTGGCACCCTCACAAAACCAATTTTTAAGGCTCAGTGAGGTTGAGGCAGTTGCCAAGGTCACACAACTCAAAACTAGTGGTTGAACCCAGGTTTGTCTGGCTCCATAGCCACACTCTTGCTGAATGGGCTAGGTTACCCAAGGTCATAGTCAGAGGCCTTGGGAACTCTCGGGCCAGGCCCCCAGCTCTCAGTTCAGGACTCCGCATCATCTTTTACTGAAGACCCTGCAGCGTCCAACATCTCCGAATGCCAGATTCCTCAGGAGCCAGCTTCTCCCCAGCCTCAGCGTCTCCCTGGCTGGCTGGTGACCTATATCTGAATGCAGCACTCCCATTCCCTGGGCTTTCAAAACCGTGATGCAACATCCTCTGTACTGCTGGATTGAATGCCATCAGGTCAGGCAGCTTTAGTGTGGGGGCCTCATTCAAATCCAGGGAGTAACAGAGATCTGGAGAGAAGCTGGCGCAACACTTACCATTTGGGCCTCACTTTTATACATTTTGGTCTTGGACATGATTTCACCAGGGCAGTGGTCCTCAGAGTTTAATGCATGTAGGCCCCAGCCTCAGCGATGTAGAGAGAGGAGGAACCTGTGCTGGTGGGCAGCCTCCAGGAATCCTGTCACAGGTGGTGTGGGGGGACCACACCTGAAGAATATCCCCCAGAGGCTCACACAAGCAACCTCAGAACAGAAATAAAACCAGGGTCTCTACTTCGTGCGTCCTGTGCAGAGCTTTGCAGCTGGGCCTCATCCGAACAGGCCGGGAGGTTCCTAATAGCAATGACCAGTGCCAGAATTTAATGTGCATCGTGCTCTGCCGGCACAAAGCTCTTTTCAATGCTTTCTCTCTTTCCCTTGGATTCCAGTGTCAATACCGAGTGCCAACATATTTTATTTGGCTCAAACAGGGTTAGACCTCAAAGGGTTTTCAATTCGAATTTTTGCCAATATTTTGAAATTGTGAGAGTTCACATTAAAATCTGGTTTTCTGACTTCTCTGGAAATGTTGGAGGTCTGGCTACTGTAGATCTTCTGGATGGTATGGTGTCCATGGTCTGGAGGGAGTGATGCCTTCTAGTCTGTATGTAGCTGGCTCTCGGCACTTCTCCAGGCCTGCCACTCCCTGACAATTCTTCCTGGCACCAAGGCAAGTGCCAGTTGGCACCTGTCATCCTATTGCCTCACCTGCTTCATGCGTTGACATTATCTACCTGAGCCCTGTAGGCAATCGAGCATGCGACCTCTACCCTAATCCAAATACAGAGCCCAGTTGGCCTGTGTCACTCATGGGTCTCCTTAGACAGTTATGTCTGAAGTCCTTCTTTAATAATATCCTTTGAAAATGGTATTGTTATTAGTCCATTTAAGTGATGAAGGTACCAAGGACCAGAAAGTGTGAGCAATTTGCTTAAGATTCTATAGCCAACAGAAGCAGAACTAGGACTCCAGTGGGGCCCCTGTGTCCAGGTAGGCAGCGCGTACACCGAGTAGCTCCAGGGCCACCATCCACACAAACGGCACTGCGAATGCGCCCTCCAGGACTGTGCAGTGCACAACCTGCCAAGCTTTCCCCAGAAGCCCTGACTCCCATCTGGGGGCCCGACTCCAAAGCTGGCATTTTTCTTTACTCTATAGCAGGTCCTCACCCTTGGGCCTTAAGAAACATGGATTTCCAACCCTAAACGTGCTCTTGCTTTCCCCCCTCAGTGCTCCTACATCCCAGGCAGCCTGGACAACTACCTAATGGCCCGGGCTGAAGTGGAGAAGGTCAGAGCCAGATTCCATGAGCACCAGGTTTTCTACTGCTTCTCCACGACTCGGGAGAACGAGACCAGCGTCCTGTACCGGCGCCTCTACGGGCCCCAGGCCCTCCTCTTCTCCCTCTTCTGGCCCACCTTCCTTCTGACTGGCGGCCTCCTCCTCATTGCCATGGTGAAGATCAACCAGTCCCTCTCCATCCTGGCGGCGCAGAAGTAGACCCATCCAGCCACACCACTGCTTGTGTCCCAGGGGCCTGGGTGGGCCCCCAGGGCTGTCCCCACCTTCCCCCTCCCCTGCCCTCCTGCTCTCCCCCTCCACTCCATCCTGTCTTCCATTGCATGATTGACCTTTGGGAAATCCCTTTGGTGAGTCATTTCCTGCTCAAGAATGTACCATAGCTCCCTAGTGCCTTGGAGGACATAAGGCGAGCCAGTTATAGCTCTTCATAACCTGTCCCCACTCAACTGACTCATAACTGTTTCCTACTGCATCACTGTCTATCCCCAAATGATGATGATGGTCACCTCTGTGTCCATGTCATCCCTGTTGGCTCAAAGGCCTGCCTCTCCCACCATGGAAGCCATCCTTGGCAAACCTCAGTTCCTTCTTTGAATTCCATAATGAAAACCACAGCAGCTTCCATTTATAGAGCACATTTAGAACATTGCTTTTTTTTAGGACACTAAGTGCCTATACACTTTTATTCTAATATTAACAAATATATGCAAAATAACAAAAGGCTCTAAGAAAATATCCAAAACGCATCAAAATATTAGCAGTGGGATGGTGGTTCGTTTGAATTTTTGTCTTTATCCTCCTTTTGTTTTTTGTACTTTTATAAATTTTCAACAATAGAAAGGTTGTGTTTTGTTTTTAATCAGAAAAATAACAGTAGATGTTACTTGGGAAAAAGTTGAAAGAGTGAATCCCCCTCACAAAGGAGCTGAAGGTGGGTCTGGGGAGGGGTTGGGCTCCAGTCAGAAACAGGCTGCTGAGAAGACACAGTCTTGAGCACTCTCTATGGAAGAAAGGTAATCACACAGATGGGGATTATGATTTATTCTGCAGGTAAATACTCAGGCACTAAGCCTGCTGGGGAAGCCTGTCTCAGATTTGAAGAGGACACGATTGGAGGAGGCCATCAGCTTTACCATTCCCATTCCAAGAAGTTTTCCTACAGTGGTGGTTCTCAAAGTGGGGTGCCTGGGCCAGTGACATCAGGGTCCCATGGAGACTTGTGAGAAATGCACATTCTCAGGCTCCTGTCCCAGCTCTACCGAGCCAGAAACGCTGTGGGGGTGTTAGGCAGTGCTCTGTGTTTTAGCAATAGTTGCAGGGGACTCTGAGATGTGCTCAAGCATGGGAACCACTGGGGTACGGATCCAGGGCCCCGCCACCAGGCTTTGCAGGGTGTATAGATGACTATTTGGCAGGGCAAGTCCTGAGCTGGGTGCGAAGTTAGGCTGGTGTCTGTGAAGTTCCTTCTGGAGCTGTGATTCTAAAACACAACCCTTGAGTTTGAATCCTGTCTCCATCTCAGCTGGAATTCAACTCTCTGATTCTTGTTTTTTCATCTGTAAAAGAGGGACTCCTCCTTTGGGGTGGCTGAGAAGGCTGAATGGAGGTTCGGCACACAGTAGATGATCAGAGTAGAAGCTATTGTTAATAACAGTAATAAGTCATCAATACTCAGAAACTTCCAGAAGAAGTTATGCTAACAATGATGTTAACTAGCATTTATTGGTGCTTATTTATTACATGCCAGGCACTGTGCTAAGTAGTTTGCCTTGTAAAAATTCAGTGAGGTACTGCTGAACCCACTTCACAGAAGAGGAGAAGCAATATAGGACAGTACGTGGACCTGGGGTGTGTTCTGTCTGGGTTCAAAGACCCAACACTGCCATTCACTAGCTGGGTGACTTTGGGCAAGTAAATCAACCTCTCTGTGCCTCAATTTCTTCATTTGCAAACTAGAAAGTAATAATAGTATCTTTCTTATAGAGTTCTTGGTATTAAATGAGTTATTATGTTAAGTTCCTAGGATAGTGACTGACAAATGTTAAGTGCTATAAAAACTACGATGAAAAACAGGTTCTAAGAGGTAATTGGCCAAGACCATCTATATAGTAAGAGAGGAGGTGGAAATCATGCCCCAGGCTGTGTGATTCCAAACCTGGCATTGCAACCATAGTACTTGAGCAGACCCAGCTGAAGTGCTGAGGGACAAAGCCACTGTTTTAGTCCGTTTTGTGTTGCTATAACAGAAATACCTGAGACTGGGTAATTTATAAAGGAAAGAGGTTTATTTGGCTTATGATTCTGGGACAGCTGCATATGGCACAGGCCTCAGGCTGCTTCTACTCATGGTGGAAAGTGGCAGGGAGCTGGTGGGTACAAGCAGATCACATGGCGAGAGGAAGCAAGAGAGAAAGAGAAGGTGCCAGGGTCTTTTTAAGCAACCAGCTCTCGCGGGAACTAATAGAGTGAGAACACACTCATTAATCCTCCCTCCCCCAGGGAGAGCATTAATCCATTCATGAGGGATCCACCCCCATGACTCAATCAGTTTTCAACACCGCCACATTGGGGATTCAAATTTCCACATGAGTTTTGGAGGGGACAACACATCCAAACTCCATCAGCCACCCAAAGCCACAGGGCCTGCATAAGGAACAGCATTGCACCTCTGGAACACAAGGGTGCCCTCATGCAAGTCAGGGGTCTTAGGAGAGAGCCATCAGAATCTGCACCAACATCTGTTACTTCCAATCAGGGAGACTGGAGCACCGCTGTGCCCTCCAGTGTCTTACCAGGGGATCCTCCTTCCAAGGGAAGCAGCTCACCATCCCCCAGAGTCTCTCCCTTTTGGGGCCAGGGAAGTCTCAGGATCTTTGGAGTTTTTAAAGAAAGTTCCATTTCTGATATTGCACTACAGTTTTGCAAGATATTACCATTGGGGGAAATTAGGAAAAGAGTGCATGGGATCTCTCTGTATTATCCCTTACAACTGTATGTGATCTACAATTATTTCAAAAATTCAAACTTAATTTTTAAAAAAGAAGCAAAAGAAGACAAAGTCCCAGCTAGGAGTCTGCTGTGGACTGATTTAAGTGTCTCCCCAAAGTTCATATATTGGAAGCTTACTTCCCACTGTAACTGCTGAGGGTGGGAAATCCTATTGTAATTGAAAGGTGGGGCCTTGGAGAAGTGATTAGATTGTAGGACCATGCCATAGTGTATGGATTAATAATGGCGGTCAGGGGTGTGGTTCTCAGGGCTTTAAAAAGAAGAGCACTTGAGAGATTAGTCTCTCTCTCTGCTCCACCACATGCGACACCTGCTTTGCTGTAAAGCCACCACCAAAGAAAACCTTCCAGATATGTTCCCTGGACTTTGGATTTCCCAGCCTCTGAAACTGTAAGGAATAAATTTTTTTCTTATAAATTATCCAGTTCCAGGTATTTTGTTATAAGTAACAGAAACAGACTAGTATAGAGTCTCACTCAGAGGGTCAACGTTGCACATGGTTGCCATGCACCTGCATTTGGGACTAAACTACACAGAAACTCAGACTATCCAAACAGCTCCTGCAGGGGGAAAGACATGTCCTTCTAGAAAAACTGGTACATGGGGAAGCCTAGCCACCACTGCCCCATGCATTATTGATGATGACTTACATTTGCTTGAGACCAATGTCCTCTTCCTGTCAGCAGACACTGGCCTCCTTCTACCAAATCCCACACCTGTCTGCTGTTCACAGAACTTCATACACAGGATGTGCATGAAATAATGGGCATTTAAGAGTGATGGAATTAGACACTGAGGAAAAATAGTTTTTGGAATAATGGCTGCTTGGGAGCAGAGAGCCCTTGTCGGTTCTTAATAAGTCACTGTGCTAATGAATATCTTGTGCTTCCATCGTTTTCACTTTTCCTCTTTTGGGCCAGTGACTCACACCTGGAGAAGGGCACCTGGACTGCTCTCCCATGTGCCCTCCCTGGGAACTCAGACTACACAGTGGAGATCCAGACTTGAAATGAAAAGGACCTTTGTGGGACATCCTGATGGTGCCAGGCCTCAGACAATTCTTCAGCTCAGCAGCCCAAGCTGCAACTAGAGGGGGATAGAAAGGAGGGTCTCTTCTAGTTTTGGAAATCTCAGAAGGCAAAGATTTCGCTTTACTTTGATAGCCTATCTACTATCCATCAGTGGAAGTGCCTGCCTTCAAGGAGTTTTTATTCTTCCTGCCTTTCTCCCTCCCTGCCCCCTCACCAACCATTATTCAGGGCTTCCTTCTTCACAGTGGAGAACCTGCATTATGCACATTTAAAATAGTGCAGTATAAAAATATTAATGTAATCTTAATTTTTGTGACTAATTGAAGTGATGCCAGCTCCCCCTCTAAATCAACAATTCATCCAAAATTTCCCCTCATTTCAAAACTCCCTGTGTCAGTGGATTGCAAATTGCATTTATTCTATTGCTAATTGTCAGTACAGGTTGGTACGTTAGAATATCCAATGTCTTTTGAATTAGTCCTGCATTTGGGGGGAGTTCGAATTCTTCGAAATCTTTGGCAAAGTACTGCTTGAAAAGTACAACTGTCCTGCACCTTGCCAGCCACTGCCCTTGCACATGTAGGAAAAAGAGAAAGACCAAAGAAAGCACAGAAAGACATGCAGAAATTTACTACATTCTAGTGCAGCAGTTCTTAAAGTGGAGACTTGCAAGGTCAAAACTCTTTCCATAATAATACTAAGACATTATTTGCTTTTTTCACCTCATTTTCTCACAAGCATGTGATGGAATTTTCCAGAAGTTGTATGACATGTGGTATTACAACAGACTGAAAGCAGAAGCAGCTGCGAGATTCCAACTGCCTTTATTGAGCCAGACATTAGAGATTTGCAAAAAAATGTAAAATGTGGCACATCTCACAATATATTTTTTTTTGGAAAATATAATTGTTTTTCATAAAAATATGTTATTTTTGTTGTTATGTAATGGATTAATTATTTAAAAATAAACATTTACAAATTAAGTACTTCAAAACTTCTCAGCTTTAATTTCTAAAATGGTAACTGTTAATAGATGTAAACCATACACCTAAGTTCTTTGGATCCTCAATATTTTTTGAGAACGTAAAGCAGTTCTGAGACCAAGAGGCTTCTTGTGGGCCCGTTCCAGGGGGACTGGTCTAGTGTGTCAGAGACAAGGCCTCCATGTCCTTCCCACATCATGAGCTGTGGAAATCCAAAGCCTTCCCCCAGGTCCCATCAGATTCCTACTGGTTGCCAGGAGCCGGGGATGAGTTTTCCCTGGCTCCCAGCTCCTGCTTCCGCAGATGACTTAGGCGATGGATTTATCTTCCTATCCACAACTGTTTTTCCTGGATCTTCATCATGTCAACTCTAATACAGAACTCAGCTTCTTCCTAGGTTTCCGCAACTCTCCTTTCCACTCATACAAAGCACATGTTCATCAGCCGACTTCCTTGAAGGATTTGGGAGGTGTATAGATGCAAAGCAATCAACTCCAAACTGAATGTTGGGCCAAGTTTATGATTCATCCCAAGGCTTACTCTTTCTCTGCCCAATGCAGAGTCAAAGGTGGCTTAGAGGGACTTTGATCTCCATTATCCCATACCAACCTCTCCCATCCCCAATACCCATGAAATAAAAGCAGGGGCTGGCTCAGCATGTGCAGCTTCTAGACATGTCTTCTATCCCCACGCCCAGCGACACTGTTGCTCCGAGTCCTCCTATGTCTATTCTGGAGCCACTGCTATTCTACTCCCCTTTGATTTCACGTAATC